TTCAACAATCAAGAAAATGCCTCACAGACATGGCCACAGGCCAGTCCAATGGAGGCAGTTCCCCAATTGAGGCTCCCTCTACCCAGGTGTGTCAAGTTGGCAACTAAAGCCATCCAGCATAATACCCATGCAATTTTATAATTTATTAAAGATGAAAGAAAATTTATATACCAGTATGTTTTTACATAAAGAATTAATTGGCTGAATCTTTGCTACTGCAGGATGTAGACCATCTTCAACATTTTTCAGAGTTGATCTATGTTTTGATTTTATTGTTATGGCTAAGAGTGCTGCTATGCATAAATAAACACTGTAGCCGGGTGTGGTGGCACAGGCCTTTAATCCCAACACTTGGGAGGCAGAGGAAGGCAGATCTTTGTGAGTTCGAGGCCAGCCTGGTCTACATAGTAAGTTTCAGGACAGCTGGGGCTACAAGGAGACCCTGCCTCAAAAAGACAAAACAACAACAACAAAAACAAATAAACACTACAAAATGACAGAAGTATGCTCAGGGCCACTCCAGAAGTTGCTGGAAATTCTGTCCTAATCTCAAACCATTTAGAAAATCATTTGACAATTTTCTTGATTTATTTATTTTTATTTTACATGTATGAGTGTTTTGTCTTTATGTATCTAAGTGCACCCATGTGTGCAGTGCCTCTGGAGGCCAGAAGAGGGGGGAATCAGAGCCCCTGAAACTGGAGTTACAGATGGCTGTTAGCCTCAGTGTGGATGCTGAGAATCAAACCCAGGTCCTCTGCAAGAGCAGTCAGTGCTCTTAACTACTGAGCCATTTCTCTAGCCCTTTAAAAAAAAAAAAGATTTATTTTTAATTATGTGTATGCATGTGTGTCTGTGTGTGGTTTTGTGCATGTCCCAGCTGAGGCTAGAAGGTGTCATATCCCCTGGAGCTAGAGTTACAAGTGACTGTGAGTTGCCCTATGTGGGTGCTGGGAACTGATGTGGGCCCTTTGCAAGAGCAGTAAGTGCTCTTAATTTACTGAGCCATCTCTCTAGCCGGAAACAGCATTTTTTAAAAACTAAACAGTCTAACATGATGCAATCCAAAGATGAACTACCTGCTGAGGAATGATGGGGGGCGGAATTAAAAGTCTCTATGTTTCCTAATTAAACCATCATGATTTTGTAACAGCAGAAAACTTTCTATGTACAGTCAAAACACCACAATTCATGACTGTGCTGGTTAGTATTTGTCAACACAAACTAGAGTCACCTGGGAAGAGGGACCTTCAACTGAGGAATTTCATCATAATGGCCTGTGGTCTGTGTGACATTTTTGATATAAAAGGGCCCACCCCACTGTGAGTGGTGCCATCTCTGGGCAGGTGGGCCTGGGCTGTATACGAAAGATAGCTGAGCAAGCCAGGGGAAGCAAGCCAGTAAGCCATGTTCCTCCATGGTCTCTGTTTCAGTTCTGGCCTCCAGGTTCCTTCCTAGAGTTCCTGCCCTGACTTCCCTCAGTGACAGACTATGACCTGGAAGTACAAGATAAAATAAACTCTTTTAGTCAGTGTTTTATTACAGCAACAGACAAGACTAGAACCTTGACATACAATGGCCTGGAAGCTGAGCCAAGGTGTTTCCCAGTATTCCCTGCTGCAGTGTGGCCCAAGGACACACACAGCAGCAGAGTTGTGTGTCCAGAACCGCGTCAACAATGAAGTACCAGGGTGCAATTGGGCATGCCTTGCCAGGAAACACCACAGATTCACAATGCGTTTAATTTCAAGTGGATTTTTGGTTTTTGTGTGTTCAGAAACCTTTTCTCTGTTGTCACTGTTTTCGTGACCCCCGCCCCCCACATTCAGTTACACCTGATGAATCACAGTTTCAGAAGCTGGGGATTTAGAAGATGCTTGGGTGGCCTTGCTGCTGGGTCACACTGGAAGGATACACCGTTCAATGTCATGTCCTACTTCTGAGTGTCTGATGAATGATGGTGTTCGGATGAATGAGTTCCAGGTTTCAAAATTGGCCTGTATCATAGCCCCAAAAGGCTGGTCCACAGGATAGATAAGTCCAAATTTTGGATGGGGACAGGTAGGCAGCCTGGCTCCATCAGAACTCTGCTGAGGGGTGCCTAGTATGGGATGGGGAGGCTTTAGGTCATGTGTGGGTGGCCTAAGACAGACGGCTCCCCTCCTGTGCATTAGCCAGAGCCTCTCCTGCAGGAACAGTGGCCAACTGACTCTCACCTTCCTTCCAGGAGGCCAAGTTCAGCTTCCTGGACGGCGAGGAGGATCCCCAGATGGTATTTGACTGGATGGACATGGAGCACAGGGGCCGCCTGTCTCTGGAAGAGTTCAGATCTGGACTCAGTACGTCCATCTTGAGGATCCTGAGACTTGTAACACAGTGTTGGTCTATGTGACAAGCAAGCTAACTCCTTTACCAGCAGGGGGGCCCTCATCATACCTGAGAGCTGTGGGGGTGCTCCCCCAGTGCCCCTCCCTTGTAGTCTCTTGTGGGGGGGTGGTGAGCAAATGCTTCCTGGCCTTAATATGAGACCGCATTTACCCCCTACATTTACCCCCTGTAGGGGTCACTTTCTAGTCTTGGTCAAAGGACTCCAGGCCCTCCAGGTAATGGGAGAGTGGGTACTTAGGGGATGGACTCCCCAGTACCTGCCTCTCAGAAGGGCACAATCTGCAGGGCACCCCTTTACGTTCAGCCTGTGTATAGAAGGAGCTTCTAGCCTGGAGCAGGGAGAGGTGACAGAGAGGGGGTGACATCCTCTTGGAGCCCTGACAAGATAAGCTCAACCTTGACCCATTTATCATTTATTTTTATTTTATGTGTATGAGTGTGTCACTATATGTATATGTGTATTGTGTGTGCAATACCTGCTGAGGCCAGAAGAGGGCATTGGATCCCCTGAAATGGTTGTTAGCCACCACATGGGTGCTGAGAACTAAACCTGGGTCCTTTGCAAGAGCAGCTAGTACTCTTAACTACTGAGCCATCTCTATAGCTCATTTAAATTGGTTAATTGATTGATTGATTGATGATGATTTTTTAGGCTTGGCCTTAAATGGGCACATGGTCACTTAGAGCTTTCAGGATCATAGGGTTGCTAAAGTTTGGGGGGGCCCACTAGAGGGGCCAGATGTCAGTATTCATTGACTGAGTCCACTCAAGTTTTGGTGACTGAGAAGCTGGGAACGGAGGGGAGGAGCCTGGGGGTGGGTGCTGTGCACACAGTCCAGAGACCTCATCTTCAAGTGGGAGCCAGTCTTTAATCCCAGCATTCACGAGGCAGAAGCAGGTGGATCTCTGTGAATTCAAGGCCAGCATGGTCGACATAGTGAGTTCTAGGCAGCTGGGGCTACAGAGAGAACTTGTCTCAAATTTAAAAAAAAGAGGAGGAGGCAGAGGAGAAGAAGGGGCTTTAGTATGGCTTAATGGGTAAGGGCGATTGTAGCCAAGTCTGTCAACCTGAATTTGATCCCCAGGACCCACATGGTGTAAGAAGAGTATCAACTCCTGCAAGTTGTCCTCTGACTTCCACACATACACCATGGTATGCACATACCTATAAAATAAGTAAATAAATCGAAAAGAAGAAGAAAAAGTACCCTTTTCAGCCCATGCTCGAACGTTGGCTCCATCATGCCTGGGATTTAGGTGAATTCATCAGCACTTAGTGAGTGCCTCTCAATGAGTGAAGAACCTGTTGTGTACCATGGAGCTGCTGTGTGACTTCCAGAGAGTCTCTGGGCATCTCTGCTCCTTGTGCTATGTGTGAAACGGGCGCTTTCATTTTCTAGGACTCTCAAAGTTGATTGGTGACATGCATGAATGTAGCAGCCCTGTGTAAACGTGAAAGGCATGGCTCCTTCCCCAAGGGCCGAAGGCTCATGGGAAGTCAGAGCCCCATCCTCACTCTGACTAACCGTCTGTTTTCCAGAAAACATCTTTGGCTCTGGCCCGAGTGCCCTCAGGCTCCGTAGAAAGCGGCCACCGCCCTCCCAACGGGTGTCTGTGACTTCCAGCTTCCCTGCCCTGGAGGAGGCTGACGCACAGGAGAAAGAGGCTTTCCTGGGCCTCCTGGGGCAGCTGGGGACAGGCCACTCTCTTTCTGAGTAAGGCCATGTGTTGGGGCTGGGAGAGGCCCCCCGGGGAGGGGCAAGGGCTCTCCTGCCATAGCGTGGGGTGGGGCTGGGTACAGATCCCTGTTTGGCCACTTGCTAGTGTGCGACCTCTGACCTCTGTTCCCGGCAGTGACTTGCCCATCAGAGTTGTAGAGGGATTGAAGTCCTGTGCAGAGGGCACCTGGAGGGGTCCTTTCTAACCCCACAATCCCTCCCCTCCAGGAAGATCAGTCAGTTGGTGGCATCATCCCCTGAGGGGACCTAAAGGCTCCCTAAGGGTTCTGCAGTATGTTAACTCCAGGCCTGGTGGTGCCTTGGACTGGGTGGGTTTGGAGACCAGACAGGAGGTCATTTCCTGTCATGTGTCTTCAGCTTAGACTCTGGGTTTGTGGGGGGAGTGTCTCCTTGTGTGCAGAGAAAGGGGCCCTGCCCTTTCTCCCAGGCCTGAGGCCTCCTAGAGTCATCCAGGCCTCGCCCTCACCCACTCTCTCCACCCTGCTCCTCTGTCCACAGGGCTCTAAAGAGATCCTGTCCATCTGGTTCAGAGGGTGGGGCTGCTATGAGACAGGCAGGGTGGCACCTGGGCGTAGGCTGGCAGAGCAGGTGGAGCAGGGTGCCATTTACCCACTTGGCAGCTTCGTCTGGGCTCCCTCACCCTCTGGCTCCCGTTTTTCATGACTTAATTAAGTCCATGTGAAAGTCATGTGTATTGAGAGCCAACTGTGGGCCAGGCTCTGGGCTGGCACTTACATTCAGCAAGCCTGTTGTTCTCCAGACATTCTTGCCTGGCAAGTATCAACCTTATTTTACCAGTGAACACAGATAGGGCAAGAACTTGCTCAGAGATCACACAGCTCCAGATGGGAGAAGCGAGAAGGCAGAGGGAAGCCTTGAGCTGTCAGGCTCTCAAGTCACCCCCTCTACCTGTTTGTCATGGAATCTCAGGGCAACAAGTGGTATGGGGGTTCAAGAAGGGACAGTGCTGCAGCCGGAGAGCTGGCTCAGCAGTTAACAGCACTGGCTGCTCTTGCAGAGGACCTGGGTTCAGTTCCCAGCACCCACACAGCAGCTGACAGTTGTCTGTAACTCTAGTTCCAGGGGATCTGATGCTTTCTTCTGGCCTCCACGGGCATTGCATGCACTTAGTACAATCACAGACAACACACTCATACACTAAAATTTTAAAAAAGAAGACAGGACAGCACACATCTAGAAAAGTTCTTGAAGGAAGTTGCATTTGAATCAGGCTTTGTATCCCAAGTTCCCAAGTCTCTGGGAATCCTGCCATTAAACCCAAGGACTAGGGCCTGTGGTTCAGTGTGTAGAATGTTTGCCTAGCATGCATATAGACTGCAGTGTGGCGAGCCATTCCTGTAATCCCAGCCCTGGAGAGGTAGAAGCAGGAGAATCGGGAGTTCAAGGTTATCCTCAGCTACATAACAAGTTCAAGGCCAGCCTGAGCTATAGGAGACTCTGGCTCAAAATAGGCCTCCCACTTCCTGGCCCTCTTGTATCTAATCTCTGGAGGTCCCCCTACCCAAGGCAGGTGGAGATCTGGCAGTTGTGGGAGGAGCTGCGGCAGGAGGAGCCTGGGCTGGCAGGCAACCTGGAGGGCTTCCTAGCCAAGATGAGCGGTCGTCTGCAGGAGGTGCGGGCTGACAGGGATGCGCTGGAGCAGACACTGAGGACGTGAGTGAGGCCACGGCAGGTGTTCTACCTCCTTCCAGAATGTCTAGAGCTAGCAGAGCCAAGCTTGAGGAAGAAGAAGTTCAGGGGAATCTGTTGGGTGCCCTTGGAACTGGCAGGGGCACAGCCCTGTCTGGGACAGGGCTGAGTCATGGGGGCAGGAAGGTGGTAGGGCCAGAGGCAGGAGGCAATAGGGATCATGAATAGGGGCAGGGGAAACAGTATCTTAGTGATGGTTAGAGGCATGACCAGCGTCAGAGAACTAGGGTGATCTGATAGGGGCTTGTGGTTGATGAGGGCCCATGAGCGGTAGGAGGGCTCCAGCCCAGGCACAGTCCACCCTGCTGCCCAGGGCCCTGGAGGTGCTAAGGGGCTGCCTGGGCTGCCTGGCACCTGCCTCCTGCCCTTTGCAGGCGAGATTCTGACCACCAGCGTGAGGTGCAACAGCTCTATGAAGAGACAGAGGAACAAATTCGTAGGGAGCAGCAGCAGCTTCAGGCCCAGGTAGATGCTGCTGCCTCTGGCCCTGTCCCTTCCCCCCACCCCCATCCCTGTGCCCTCCAGGGATGCCTCTCCCAGCTCAGGCTAAGTCGTAGCAGGGGCAACCGCGGCTTCAGGGAGCCTCTTTCCCTGCCCTGAGCAGCTTGTGTGCCCCAGAGGGATGGAGTGGGCCTGCTGAGCATGTGTCCCATCTCCAAGACTCAATGTCCTCACCCCCACCTCCAGGGCTGACTGCTACTGTCTGGGTGTCAGTTTCCTTGTCACAATCTAGGCCCAGGTGGTAGGATGGTGAGGATAGGGCTGGCCCAGCTGGTCTAGCTCTAGAGTCTGCAGGACAGGGATGACCTTTCTCCTCTGCAGAGTGACTCCCGGGGCTTGGCCTTCAGCACCCACATGCAAGAGGTCCTGGACGCCAAAGAACGAGAGGTTCAGCGGCTGACCGAGGGCCAGAGAGAGGTAAGCAGAGGGCTGGGTAGCCCACTTGCCAGGGATTCCAGACCCAGACACCCATCTCTCTAGGCTTGCTGTCAAGCAATCTGCTCCCAACTGGACAGGTCAGACTGAAGCCTTATGCAGCCCTGAGCACTCCCTAGGCCACTGGCTGCCAGATGTGACCCTCTTCCCAGTACAGAGGGTAGGGAGACTGAGGTACCAAATCCCTGATATTCCTGCAAAGAACCAGGCAGACTCAGAGAGATGACCTGGGAGCTTGTCCTGGCCTCAGTTTGCCCATCTATAAAAGGGGTGACTGCCTCGATGGCATCTCCCAGGCCGCATGTGTCAAAGTAAGGAGATAAGGGAATGGAAAAGCTTTGGACAAGCTGGGTATGGTGATGAATCCCTGTAATGCCAGCCCTGGGGAGGTGAAGTTAGGAGAATCAGGAGTTCAGAACAAGCCTGGGCCACATGAGACCCTTTCAAGGAAAGGAAAGGAAACGAGAGGGGAGGGAAGGGGAGGGGAGGGGAGAGGAGGGAAGGGAAGGGAAGGAACAGGGGGCTGAGCAATGGTTCAGTGGTTAGGTTTCCAGAAACAGCCTGTATCTCCAGCTCTAGGGGATCTGGCACTCCCTCCTGAGCCCAGTGGGCACTGCACTCATGTGGGTATATATACACACAGACAGACACTCATATACAGAATTAAAAATAAAGTGGGCTGAAGAGATGGTTTAGAGGGTGAAAGCACCTGCTACCAAGTCTGAAGACCTGAGTTTGATTCCTAGGACAAATGCTAAAAGGAGAGAATTGACTCTTATAAGTTGTCCTCTGACTTCTATATATGTATGCGTGTACACACATGCCATCTGAACAACCTTGGGTGGGTTCTTAACATCCCTGAGCTTCCTGGGAGGTGGGGAGACTGGAACCCTCGAGGCCACCTTCCCCTCTATGGGGTCCTGCCATGCTCCTCTGATTGCTGTAGGGTCAGAGAGCCCCTGCTTGTCCATGGGGTCAGGGACAGAGCCACTGCCAGGCTTGGTCCAGACAAATGTGTCTGAGGATCTCTCATCACGGCCCCCTCCTCTTCACTCACATTTCGCAGGTCTCACCTCATGGGTTATCAGGCAGCTGGTTAGATCCTTCAGGGGTGACCGCCCCTCCAATCCCACAATTTTAAGCCAGGTCTCCAGAGTCCAGGCAGAGGAGGGCATCCTTGCTTCTGGTGGTGGTGGAGGCTCTTTGTGTCATGTCCTGTCCGTCTGTCCATGTTCCCTCCATTCCTCACCAGGACAACTCTGACTCCCCCCTCCTCTCCTCCACCTTCCAAAGCTGGAGGTGCAGCTGCTGTATCTCAGCAGTACTCAGCAGGAGGCCAACTCTGAGAACCAACAGCTCCGGGAGGCTGAGCGGGACCTGACTGGGCAGCTGGAGGAGGTTCGAGGACAGCTGCAGGTGACCAGGGGACACTTGAACACTGCCAGGGGCCGAGTGTCCTGGCAGACAGAGGAGGAACCCAGGCAAGTGGCTGTCCTCTCTGGACTGGGGTGGAGAGCAGGGTCTTCTGGGAACAGGGAGTGACTCTGCCTTCTCCAAGGTGCTGGTTAGCTCTCACTACATGCATAATCTTCCCTGCTAACTCTCACAGCAACCCAGCCAACACCCATTTCTCAGATGAGGAAACTGAGGCACAGAAAAGGGAAGGACCTATACCTAAGACCACAGGGCTGGGATTAAGACATGTACACATATGTGTGCTCATGTGCACAACATATGCACACACACGCACGCACACACACACACAGCTCCCTGGCAGGCACTAGCTGAGGTAAGAACGCTTGCCTGATCAGGGGAGTCTTCCTCGAAGAGGTGAGGATTTGTGTAGGTTTTGAGGTATAAGGTTAGATGGGAGTTCTGAGCCAACCCTGGAGGAGAGCCATGGGAGAGTTATGCTGGCAAGATTTGGAGGATACCATTGACCGCCCCCTTCACATCCCCCCTTCTTTTCTAGTGTCCCCAGGGCAAATGAGAAAGCTCCCCCTGAGGAAGCCCCGCTACCTGGGCTGTTTGGGGACAGTGATGACTGGGACCAACTCCTAAGCAGCTTTGGCAACCATCCCCACAGAACCCCGCAGCTATCCTGGAGCCCACCTCCCACCCCGAATGTCACCTCCAGCCCCCAGACACCCCGTGTGGTCAGGCAGATTTCTATCTCGAAGCAACCTGCTTTGATGTTTGGTCAGGAACCAGCCTCAGATCCAGATTGGGCTCCAAGCAGCCCCACTGGGGTGCTTTCCAGCCCCAAGGATGGGAAAGGGGTGGAGAACACAGACAGACAGCACATCAGCCCTAAGCAGCCTGTGGAGCCCCCTGGCCTGGAAGTCAAACCTGAGGCCCACTTGCTCTGGAGCCTGTCAGGAGCTCCAGCTGGAGAGTTGGATAGCCTGGGGGCAGCTAAGGCTGAGCCTCCTCTCCAAGGCCTCTCTCCCCCTCCTCAGGCCTCAACTGGGTCCAGAAAACAGTTCCAGGCCTCAGACCCAGGTAGCAAAAGCCTTGGACCTGGGCCTGCCCCAGCCAAGCTGCCCACGGAGGGAGAGGCCTTGCCTGAGGACCTGTATGCTGCAGGCTCTGACCCAGGTTTGGGATCTGAGAAGGTCATGGCCCTCTCCGAGAGGGCCACTGAGTCCTCCCAAGGCCTGGAGCTTGTGGGCCAGGTGTCTACAGAGGGCCCAGCTCAGGGTGAGGCAGGTATGGCTGGACTGGAGACCCATCCTGGGGAGCTACACAAAGCTCATGGCCAGATCTTCAGGATGGATGGCCCGCCTGCCCACACCCTCCAGAGCCCCAAAGTGCAGCCCAAGGCTGAGGAAGGAAACTTAGGAGACAGAGGCCAGCAGGACCTGGGGACAGAACAGGCTGCTGAGGCTCATGGCCTGGAAATGGGAAATCTAGAGTCACCCCAGCAAGATGCTCAGCTGTTTCCTCCCTGGTCTGTTATAGCACCAACTTCTGCTGAGGCAGAAGTTCCTGCCCCTGGCAAGATGTCTCCATCTAGGAGCTCTCCCCCCATGGGGGCTGGGTCTGAGGCTGTAGTGGGGACCCTCCTCACCCTGCCTGAGCTGGAAGCCCAGCCTAGGCCTATGCCTATGTCTGCTCAGGTGGAGAGTGAGCCAGGTGCCCCTCAGTCCAGGGAGCCAGGGGCTGAGAGCAGGTCCGAGAAGCCAGGAACCGATTCAGAGGAGACTGGGTTGACCTCCTCCCTGGGGGACCTCACTCAGCCTCAGGCCGACCCAGACTACCTCTTTCACGTCATCTTCCTGGGAGATTCCAACGTGGGCAAAACCACATTCCTACACCTGCTGCACCACGATGCCTTTGCCACTGGGCTGACAGCCACTGTGGGTAAGTAAGGCCCCTAGGGAAGTAGCACTGGATGGGAGAGTCTGGGTCAGGGCTAGAGAGTTACAACAGGTCCCAAGTGAGCCATTCCCAAAGTGGCTGGTTCTGTCCTGGCGATGCGCCTGCATGCAGCATTATTTTATATGGGCATAATCTTAGCGTTTCACTAATCGTCTCTAATTACAGGTAATTTGCTTTCTCTGCATTGATCTGATTAGCTTATAATGCAGCACAGTAACAAAGCACCCTGCAATTTAGGTCCTGGTGTTAGTAGAGGGTGAAAACAGACCAGTCTCCACCCACGTGGCATGGGCAGGTCCTTGCAGGGCCTGGTTAGACATGTTCATGGCATGCCCCAGGTCTGCCTGCATGCCCTGACAGGAAGTCACTGGGAACACGTTGAATATCTTACATAAAACATATTCATATAAAAGGAATATTATCTCTACATCAGCAACCTTCACAGCAAATGCTGATCCTGCAGAAGCTTCACCCGGTCTTTGGAGTGAGGGGTTCCTAATCTTTCCCATGTTTCCTTCATTTCTTTTATTTCTTTATTTTTCCATTTTTCATATGTGTGTGGTATGCATATGTATGTGTGTGTTTCTTAATGTGTATGAGTGTTTTGCATGCTTATATGTAAGTATACCCATGTGTGTAATGACCACGGAGACCAGATGAGGACATCAGATCCCCTGGAACTAGAGTTAAGGATGGTTGTTAGCTGCCATGTAGGTGCTGTGAACTGAACCCAGATCCTTTACAAGAGCAGCCAGTAAATGCTTTTAATCACTGAGTCATCTCTCCAGTCCTGTATGTGTGTTTTTGTGTGTGTGTGTGTGTGTGTGTGTGTGAGGCCCAAGATTGACGTCAGGAATCATCCTTCATTGCTCTTCCACCTTATTCATTGAGGCAGGATCTCTCAATCAAACCCAGAGCTCACTGATATGGCTAGTTTCTCTAGCCAGCTAGCTCTGGGGATTCCCCCATCTCTGCCTTCCCAAGCTAGAATTACAGGGTGGGCCACTGCACCCACCCAGCCCTTATGTGGGTTTCTGGGAATCCGAACTCAGGTCCTCATGCTTACATAGCAAGCGCTTAACCATGCGCCATCTCCCCAGCCCCATTTTCCTTCATCTTCCCTGTTTTTTAAACAGGGTCTCCCTGTAGCCCCAGCTGGCCTGGAACAATGTAGGTCGGGCTGGCCTTGATCTCACAGAGATTCACCTGCCTCTGCCTCCCAAGTGCTGGACCCAAAGGCATGTGCCACCACGCCCTGCTTCATCTTCCCTGTCTTCATACATTGTTTCAGTTCCACAAATTCAGTGGAGAGAATTCAGGGTGTAGACATGCAAGAAGGCAGAGCATGCTTGCACTGTGACCAGCGAGCAGCACCCGCCAACCAATCTCTTCTGATTGGGCTGTCGAGGACCCCTGGCGGCTGTCATCTTTTGTCTCAACTATTGCCTGGGACAGTTCCGGATGCCTTGGTATAGTTTTCCCACATCACTGCCTGCCCCCTATTCCAGTCGCTCTCCAAAACTCAGACCTGTCTCCCAGTGCATGTGAGGACAGTGGGTGGAAAACTGAAGCCCAGTTAGGTCCCTTGCTGGTTCAAGTCCAGGGTCCCCTGCTTTCAAGCCACAGATCCTACCTGGGCAGGACTGTCCCAGATCCTCGGGGGTGTATGTGCAGTACTCCCTTGAAGCAGCAGAGCCCCTGAGAGAGACAAAACATTATGTGCCAGTTTACGTGGCTTAGCCGGACCATGTTTCGGGGAGCATGGGGGTCTCATGTGGAGACTAAGGGGCAGAAATTAGGAGTGATGGGGATTAGCAGTTGTGGAAAGAGTCAGGAACTGTTGGCCAGCAGTCCTATGAGTGTGCAATTGCACACCACAGCCTCAGAATCCTGCAGACCTAGGCTCCTGAGGGCTTTAAGGAGAGGTGCCTGCCACCCACAAGCTGCTTCTTGGAGTGTAGAGGGCTGTGTGAGCCAGGAGGCAGCAGTAGGTGCTTACTGGGTTTACCATAAAAACCTCCCTAACTCCCCATTGCAAAACACAGGAGACCTATGTGCACCACCTGGCTCAGTGGGCTGTGTAGGACAGGGTGGGAGAAAGAACAGAGCACCCGCTGCCATTCCTTCCCCTCCCACATCCAGCAGGCTTCCTTGACAGGTGGGGGTCAGCTGACAGGTGTACCCCAGAACCTGACTCTCCCTTCCTTATTCCCTGGGGTCAAAAGTGTCTGCCGCTGTGGGCACAGGGAAGGGTGGGGCTGTAGGGCCCCAGGGACTGGGAAGGAACACTATAAACATAATCATTACCTTAGCTGTACCCTGCAGAAATCCCAGGGAGCCTTAGACACTGGTCATTTCTCTGCCTGTGGGTCTTTAAATATATTTTGTTAAATTCTATTTATTGTGTATGAATGTTTGCCAATGTAAGTACACCTGTGTTATGCAATGCCTGCAGAGGCCAGAAGAGGGCACCAGATCCCCTGGAACTGGGGTTGCAGAAACTTGTTAACTGCCATGTGGGTGCTGAGACCCAAACCCAGGTCCTCTGCAACAGCAGCCAGTGCTCTTGACTGCTGAGCCATCTCTCCAGCCCCCTCCCTTTCTTTTTTTGCAAGGTGGTATTTAAAAGACCCACCAAGAGGCTAGAGAGATGACTCAGCAGTTAGGAGCACTGGCTGCTCTTGCAGAGGACCTGGGTTCGATTCCCAGCACCCACACGGCAGCTGACAATTGTCCATAACTCCAGTGCCAGGGGAGCTGGATGCCCTCTTCTGACCTTCATGGGCATTGCATGACACAGATGCACTTACACACATGCAAGCAATACACTCATACACATAAAAAAATATTAAATTAAAAAAAAAAGGGAGGCTCAAGCTGGGTATGTTGGTGTACACTTTTAAGCCCAGCACTCGGGAGGCAGAGGCAAATGGCTCTCTGTGAGATTGAGACTAGCCAGCAGGGCTCCATAGTGAGTTCCTGGTCAGCTGGGACTATAGGAAGACCCTTTATTTTATAAATAAATAAATAAATAAATAAATAAATAAATAAAATGAAATAAGAAGGGAAGGGACAGAGGCTCTGAAGAAGGGAAGTCTGTTTGCCCCAGCATGGCCCATGGGCCTCTTCCTCCCCACTTGGGAAGGCTGCTTGGCCTTATGACATTTGACTATGGGGAACCTTTGGAGAGCAGAGAGGAGCCCAGCAGCCCGGCTCCATCCTGCCAGGACCAGGGCTGGGGATACTCTGTGGCAGCTCAGGCTCACTGTCTTGAGCAGCCAATGAAAGGAGGCTTGTCCCCTCTGTGTCCTAGGAGTGGATTTTCGGGTCAAAAACCTGCTGGTGGACAACAAGTGTTTTGCACTGCAACTCTGGGACACGGCCGGCCAGGAGAGGTACTGGCACTGTCCCACCTAGTCACTGATCAGGGGACCTACCTGAATTGTGCAGGGGAAGGGGGAGGAGTGGGAAGGCCCCCATAACCTGGGTGAGAGGCAACAAGTTCTACCTGGTCAGGCAGCGAGACACTGAGATCTGACACTCAAGTCAGACAGAAGGGTCTGTGAGCTAGGACAGCTGGTACAATCTGCTAGTCTAGTGGAAGAGATTAAAACACCACACAGCTAAGTGTGGTGGTGCACGCCTTTAATCCCAGCACTCCGGAGGCAGAGGTAGGTGGATCTCTATGAGATCGAGGCCAGCCTGGTCTATGTAGTGAGTAGTCCTGGGGCTACAGGGAGACTCTGTATAGAAAAACAAACCAAACCAAAACAAAACCCACTTACTGGACTGGAGAGATGGCTCAGCTGTTAAGGGCACTGGCTGGCCTTGCAGAGGATCTGGGTTCAGTTCCCAGCACCCACATGGTGGCTGACAGCTGTCCATAACTCCAGTTTCAGGGGATCTGATGCCCTCTTCTGGCCTCCTCGGGAATTATATGCACGTGATATACTTACATACATACAGGCAAAACACTCATACACATAAAATAAAATAAATACATCTTTAGGATTAAAATAGCTGTTAGAGACAGTCATCAAGGCAGACACCTGAGGGGTGGTGGCCTGGAGAGACCAGGCCTGGACTAGAGATTCAATCACCTCACCAGACTCTCTGGCAGGTACCACAGCCTGACAAGACAGCTGCTTCGAAAGGCAGAGGGGGTGGTGCTCATGTATGATGTCACCTCCCTCGAAAGCTTCACTCATGTGCGTTACTGGCTAGACTGTCTACAGGTGAGTGTATGTGTAGCTGCTGGGCTGGTCCCAGGTTGTGGAATCAAGAGGAGGTTTGGGTCTCTGAACCACTTTCTTTTCTCCTAAGGTTACAAATGACATAACAGTCATAGGAATGACACCACCCACTGAGGATGAGTGGGTGGATGAGGTAGGATCACAGTAGTACCAAGAAACCACAGCCACATAGTACATCCTCCAAAACAAACTGCTTTCTGTATACTCTATTTCTTTTTTACATAAGAACATCTCTGCTTGGGATGTGTTCTTGATGAAAATTCCTGTTTACACATCTCCTGCTTAATATTCACACACTGGGATTCTTCAGTATACAAAGAAGCTAGATTATGACCAAGTGAGGAATGTGGCCTTTCTCCAGATATTTCTAGTCTAGTGGAAGAGATTAAAACACCACACAGCAGGGCATGATGGTGTATGCCTTTGATCCCAGAACTTGGGAGACAGAGGCAGGCAGACCTCTGTGAAACTGAGGCCAGCCTGGTCTACATAGTGAGTCCAGGTCAGGGAGACCCTGTCTCAAAAAACCAACAACAAAAAATGACAGTGGCTGGAGAGATGGCTCAACTGTTAACAGCACTGGCTGCTCTTACAGAAGACCTGAGTTCAGTTTCCAATACCCACATAGTGGCTGACGACCATCCATAACTCCAGTTCCAGGGGATTCAACACCCTCTTCTGGCCTCCTTGGGCATTACACACACGATGCACTTACATACATGCAAAACACTCATACACATAAAGTAAAATAAATACATCTTTAGAAAAACTATTTGGGACAGTTGTCAAGGCAGCCTTGGTTTTCCACAGGTTAGGTGGGAAGGACAGGCAACAGCAATCCAGGGAGACTTCCAGGAGGAGGTGCCCTTAGAGTTAGCCTTGGAAAGAGGTGAGATGGTTGTAGACAGAGAGCTGAAGAGAGGGTCAGGTGAGAGAATATGGGAAGCTTCTACGTCAGGCCTGGCATTTGTCAAGGGCAGCTGAGGGTACGGATTCTGTGTACAGGATGCAGGTATGGATGGGGCTGTCATACTCCTGCTGGGAAACAAGATGGACTGTGAAGAAGAGCGACAGGTACCCACCGAAGCTGGCCGGCACCTAGCCCAGGTGAGCACAGGCCCATCTTTTCCTGGCAGGTGGGGAAACAGGGAGCAGAAACTGACCTGCCTGGCCACTGGGCTGCTGCAGAGCAGCCCTGGACCCAAACCCAGGCTGTGCCAGTGGATGCCTCCTTGAACTCGCCATGGAGTTAGCAGATTCCCCCATGTTCCCAACTTGAGTGCAAACCATTTGATAGTAAAAATGGTTTTAAAAATGTCACCATCATAATTCCCACCGAAACTGTAATTTTATCTCTGGTCTCTAATTAGCATACTGTCTTCTAATTCACTCTATTTTAAGACTCAAGTGTTTCCTTAGGAAGATTTCATCAAAAGCCCACCACCACCAGATGGTGGGAACTATTTATTTATAAATGGGATTTAACTACATTGTAGAAAACCCCAAGTCATAAAATTAAAAAAAAAAAAAAACCCTAGGGAGAGAGTGACTCGTGTCCTGCCCCTGATGCAATCCTTCTTAGAACTTCTGTGCTACATGTCCTTGTTGACCCTCGTTTCTCATGATTGGCCGGTTTGTCCCCTCTCCAGAATAGTTTTGGTCCTTTCCACATAATAGTTCTGTCTCTCTCTCTGGAAGATTCAGCAGTGATAGTCCCTAGAGAATGCGTGGTGGACTCCTACCTAACGTGTACACTCAGACATGAAGGCACTGGGACATTCTTCACCATGTGGTTTGTAAGAACAAACAGCTGGGGCAAAGGTTGGCAGTTACACACTGGCAGTTCATGTGAGAGGCCAGTATTTGTTATTAAACAGAAAAATCTGTCCTGGGGTCGACAAGATTACTCAGTGGGTAAAGGTGCTTGCTAACAAGCCTGATGACCTGAGTTTGCTCCCCAGGACCTACATGGTGGAAGGAGAGAACTGATTCCACAAAGTTGTCCTCTGATCTCCATATATGTGCTGTGGCATATGTGCATGCACACACACACACACACACACGAACATATGAACACACACACACACACAAAGCCTGTCCTGGCTTGGGGTCATAGGCCCATAATCCCAGCACTGACGTAGGAGGATTGTATGTTCCAGGCAAGATGGGATAATTTTGCAAGATTTTCTTTCAAAATAAAAAGTTAAGAGCTCTGGCTGCTCTTGCAGAGGATCTGAGTTTGGTTCCCAGCACCCACATAGAGGCTGTCAGCCATCTGTAACTCCAGTTCCAGGCGATCTGACACCCTCTTCTGGCCTCCTTCATCATGACACACATGTGGTACACTTTGCAAACATGCAGGTGAAACACTCATACACATAAAATAAAATAAATATATCTTTAGGGGAAAAAAAGCTATTTGGGACATTGTCAGGGCAGCCTGGGTTTTCACGGCTGCTCTTAACAGCTCTCTGGATGTGGTGGCACACACCTTTAATTCCAGCACTCTGTGAGATCGAGTCCAGCTTGGTCTACATAGTGAGTTCCAGGCCAGGTGAGACTACAGGAGACCCTGCTAAAAAAATAATAATAATAAAATAAATAAAATGGGGTTGAAGATATAGCTCAGTGACAGGGTGTTTGGCTAGTGTGTGTGAGGGCCTAGGGACAGTCCCCAAAATGGGAAAGAAAAGAAAAAGAAAAAGCAATTTCAGGTCCAGTTAGGTTGGGCTGAGCATTCCAAGTCGCAGATGGGAGCTGGGCATGGTGGCACATGCCTTTAATCTTAGTGTTTGGGAGGCAAAGGCAGGTGGATCTCTCTGAGATCGAGGCCAACCTGGTCTACATAGTGAGTTCCAGGTCAGCTGAGACTATCAAAATGAAAACAAAAACCAAACACAGTTGCTGATGGTGGGCTGTCTGGGGCCTGTGGAGACAATCACTCTATGCAGATGACTTAGCCTGGCAGGTCAAAGACCATTCTCACCTACAGAAGGGTTATCTGAGACAGAAAGAGGAGGAGTGGTGGTTTAAACCTGCAATACCAGCATTTGAGAGGCTGAGACAGGAGGATTACTCTGAATTCAAGGTCAGCCTGGGCTTACAGAGTAAGATCCTGTCCTGAAAAACCAAAATCAAAGAGAGTGAATATATATTCTCACACACTGACGGAGGGCTTTTAATCTGAACGTAGTCTTTGTGGTATTGTATTTTCCAGTATTTCACTCAAATCAACATTTTTGGTGGTTTTCGTTTTCGTTTAGCTTTTTGTTGTTGTTGTTTGTTTTTCTTTGGCTTTACATTTCTTTGAAATTATTACATTTCACCCAGGTGTAATCCCAGTGCTCTGGAGGCAGAGGCAGGCAGATCTCTGTGAGTTCATGGCTAACCTGGTCTACATAGAGAGTTCTGGGCCAGCTGGGGCTACAGGGAGACACTGCCTCAAAAAAAGTCCGAGAGAGAGAGAGAGAGAGAGAGAGAGAGAGAGATTATTACATTATTTATTGTATGTGTATTGGAGGTGTATATTGATGCCATGGTTCACATGTGGAGGTCAGAGGACAACTTGCAGGAGTCTGTTCTCTCCTTCCACCATGTACGTCCTGAGAATTAAACTCAGGTTTTCAACGTTGGTGACAAGTGCCTTTACCCATGAGCCATCTCACTGCCCTTTGCCTTTTTTGAGATAGGGTCTCATGTAGCTCAGGCTGGCCTCAAACTTGCTATGTAGCTAAGGCTGGCCTTGAACTCCTGATCTTTCTCCTCCCAAGTGCTAGGGTATGCCTGGCTCTTGCTCTTTTGTTTGTTTTTATGTTGCTAAGAACTGAACCCAAGGCCTTGCTTTAGGCTATAGCAGCAGCCCAGAAATATTCTGGAAAAACGTAAAAAAAACCCTAGGCATTAAAAATGTCCCTAAGGTGTTTCCCCAGAGTCAAGTGGCAAGTTCCCCCTCCACTTCAAAGACTGGGGAGGTCTCCAGGGTGGTACCCCTGTCTTGCAGCCAGCTGGGATATGGGTGGTGGACAGAGGTCCATCTGGGGACTGACTGTGGTTGATGAGGCCCTGGCAGGGCAGGGCCGCCCTCTCAGCCCCTCTGTGTGGCTACAGGAGCTGGGGGTTTCCTTCAGTGAATGCAGCGCGGCCCTGGGTCACAACATCCTGGAGCCCATAGTGAACCTGACCCGGTGAGTACCCCTACCTGGAGTCTTTGGGGCAGCCCTGCCCTACCCTTCCCCAGAAAGAGGTCAAGGAAGCCCCCAGTCCTAGAACTGTGAGCCCTGGGGCTCTCGACCCTGTGCTCCACCCCCACAGCTATGTCACTCTCCATAGGACCTCCCTCTCTTACCATGCCCCCGCCTCCCCTGTAAAACATCTGCCCCAACCTTCTAGTGACTTTCATGACTTAGAGTAACCACCAAATGTCTCCTGCTAGCCAGTGTTATCTCCAGTGTCACTTCTGCCCTGTGCGGTCTGTCTGTCTGTCTCAAATCTATCTGTGTCTCTCTCTGTCTCTGTCTTTATCTCTTTGTCTCTTTCTGCCTCTGTCTCTCTCATAGAGCTCTGACCACGCCTTCCCCCAACCCATCTCAGGCCTCTCCCAGCCCTTCTGGACCATGTTTATACTTGCTTTCTTCTTACCATCTGAGAGGGGCCAGTCTGCTAGATCAACCCCTCTTCATACAGGGCCTGGTACCCACTGAGTACTCAATGAGTGACTGAGATGGGAACTAGGAGGGGCATCAGAGCTAACCAGCATGCCTGGCACATGGTTAGACATGTGGTACCCACAGGTGCGGACTTCTCATACTTCCCTAGCCCCGGCTCGCTCTTAACCCAAGTCTCGGCTTCCCTGGGCATGTGCTTCCCTTCTGTGACACACGCTGTCCATCCATGATCCAGGGTTCACAGGCTCAAGTCCCAGGTCAAGTCCCAGATCATGACTTCTTTGTCCCAGCCGGAGTCCTACATGTGTGTCTATGTGTGTATGTGTGTCTCTGTGTGGTTTTATGTCTACATATGTGTGTGTCTGTGTACTTGTGTGTTGTGTGTGTGTGTGTGTGTGTGTCTGTGTCTATGCCTCTGGGTGTGTGTCTGTATAGTATGTGTCTGTATCTATATATCTGTGTAGTATGTGTGTCTACATATGTATGTGTGTAGTATGTCTATGTACATGTGTGTATCTATGTGTAGTGTCTATGTGTATCTGTATATGTCTGTGTGTGCCTGAGTAGTGTCTATGTCTATGTACCTGTGTGTGTCTGTATGTATCTGTGTGTTTGTGTGTGTGTATTGCTTGGCACCCAGGAGGTCAGAAAAAGAGACAGAAGTTTGCAGTCACCCAGTCCCATCTTTCCACTGCCATAAGCAGGAAGGATGAGGAGTGTCTAGAGCAGCCCCCAAGCCCAGCTACACCCCAACCCCCAAGCCCAGCTACATCCCAACCCCCAAGCCAAGCCCAGCTACACCCCAACCCCGAAGCCCAGCTACACCCCAATCCCCAAGCCCAGCTATGCCCACAGCCCTTTGTGCTGCTCCTAGAGGCAGACTGGAGGGGTGACATAATGGAAACTGTCTCACAGGTCACTCAAGATACAGGAAGACTGCCTGAAGGAGTCACTGGTGGAGGTGGCCCCCCAGCGGCCTCCCAGGAGAGCCCGCTGCTGCTCCTGATGCTGTCTAGGCCCACAGAGGAGGTCTTCCCAGGGCTCCCGTTCTGGTTTCCCTGACACAGCCACCAATGAGCCCTGCTGGGGAAGAGCCTGGGAAGACACCACCCTATCACCTTCAAAGCAGGACTCTGCAGAGCATGTGCTGGGGTGGGAGGGCAGCAAATCTCTTTAAAGGCAAGAAAAGTCTAGAAACCTACCTAAGGAAAATAGCTCCAAATATCACATTCAGCCCTGGATGGCAAAATGACAGGGTGCTGAGGTATCATCTATTGGTGTGACAAGAGCAGGTCCCAGTTTTCACTGAGAGAAGTCAGGGTGGAAGCAGAAACTGGGGGAAACTGCCTGCTTGCTGGCTGGCTCACTAGCTCAGATTTAGCTAATTTTCTCATACAGCCCAGGGCCACCTGCCTAGGGATGGTACTACCCACAGTGGGCTGGGCCCTCCCACTTCAATTAGCAATCAAGATAATGCCCCCAGGGACAGGCCTCCAGGCCAATCTGATAAGGGAAATTCTTCAATGGAGAACTCTCCCCTGGAGATTCTAGGTTGTGTCAAATACAATAAAATCTAACCAGACGGTGCATGTCTTTAATCCCAACACTGGTAAAACAGAGGCAGGCCCATCTCTGTGAGTTCAAGGCCAGCCTGATCTACATAGTGAGTTCTAGGCCAACCAGGGCTGTAGAGTGAAACCCTGTCTCAAAAAAAATAGAAGACATAAAACAAAAAATGAACCAGGACACAGGGTGAGCAGGTGGGGCATTGCTTTTCTTGCATACTTGTATTTGGGGATTTTCTGCAGTGCCTTATGCACTTGGGGAACCGGATATGGAGAAGGAAGCACATCTTGCAAAGAGCCTTTTTGGTATCCACTCTGAATTCCCACACCACATAACTGCTTCAGTTTCCCTTCTCAGACAGGAGTTTCTTCCCTGCAGAATCCAGTCCTACTCCCTATACCCCATCCACCTCTGGGGTTGCACTGGGGGTCCTGCTTCCTGCTTGAGGTTCTCAGCTGCAGCCCTCAGCAGCCACTGGGTGCCTGTGGTTGGCAGGGCTTTGAGAACAGTGGGAAATCTGGAGGGAAGTTGGTTCTGGGGCTGGGGAGGACGCTCTATGTTGGAGCATCTTTCTGGCTCGGGTCACCTCAGTACAGAGTCCTCAGGAACTGGGGGTGGGGTTGGTGCTTTGAGGTTTTTCAGGGGACAGGAAGCTCCCTGGCTGAATCAGAGGAAACCCCAGTTTTGTGGAGAGACAGTGGAGATTGCTGAGGGGTAGTCAGGAAGAGAAGGGCGGGAAGGAGCACCAGACCAAGAGGCAGGGGGCATGGGCTTGGTCCTGACTGTTGACCACAATCCCCACATTCCTGGACAGCATCGTTTTCTGAGTGTACAGAGAGACCTCGGTGGCAGGGACCTGGCACACAGCAGGCAGCTGGTGATATTGGTCAGGTGCAGAAGGTTCTGGCATTGGATGCCACCAAATGTTCCTAGTAGTAGGCCCCCTCCCCCCTCCCCCCCTGACTGGCTCTCCCTCCAATGTCTTCTCTCTCCAGTGTCTTCCTCCTTCTGACCCTCTCCCCAACTGGCAAGCTTATCCCTGCCCCAGTCACTTGCGGTGACACTAAAACAGGAGGGACAAGTCTTGTGCTGAAGCTCTCTCTGGGGTCTGGCCTGGCAGGCTCAGACACCTCCACACTGTGGACCAGGAAGCTAATGAGGCAGATAGCAGGGTGTGACTCCCAGGGAAGCCTGGAAACCAGCCACTTGTCCAAGGGATGTGGGACAGGAGTCCCCAGGCAGCCAGCTCAACTTCCCTTGAGGTGGGATACAGGAAGAGGCACATACGTCTCCCAGGATCTTGGCTACCTGTGGCGGAGTACACTGTGCACAGATGACTGTCATGCAGGGAGCTAGCTTCTCTCCATGCCTAGGGCTCACAAGTCAGCAAGCAGGACCCAGGAACCCAAGAGCAGCACCAGGTAGGCAAGGGCAGCCGCAGGATTCAAGGTACACTTCAGAGGAACTGCCCTGCAGGTGTTGAGTTCTCAGGGCATGTCAGTCAAGGGGAACCGGGGGACAACATGAATTGAAGTTGATTGAGAAAGGCTCAAGGGACTGAGCTGATGGGGTTCAGGGTGTGGAGTGGGAAGGGGAGGGCAGAAGATAGAAGAGAGGCTGGGTTGGGGCATTAAAGGTTTGCAAATTGAGGGTGGGTGGTGGATTAATGACAGCTATCACTTAATATTAAGCCTGTGTGGCAGGTGCTGTTCTGAGAATCAACCTCATGTGACCGACCCTCATGTGACCGACTGACTAGTTCTTACATTATAACCCTATGAGACAGGCCTGGTGGGCTTCTTCTTGTTTTTGTTTTTTTTTTAGACAGGGTCTCCCTGTAGCCCTGGCTGGCCTGGAATTCACTATGTAGACCAGGCTAGCCTCTATCTCACAAAGATCTGCCTGCCTCTGTCTCCCGAGTGTTGGGATGAAAGGTGTGTGCTACCATGCCTGGTTGGTTGGTTTTTTAGAGTCTGATGAAGTCCAGCCTAGCTTTGAACTCTATTTGGCTGAGGATAACCCTGAACGTCTAATCCTCCCTTTTCCTCTCGAGTGCTGGGATCACAAGCATGCACTACCACATCTGGTTTTATATGGTGCTGGGGATGGAACCCAGGGATTTCTGCATGCTAGGCAAACACTACCAACCGATCCACATTCCCAGCCTTTGGTGTTTTGTGGGCTTTGTTTTTGATTTTTGTTTGGCTTGGGGTTTTTCTTTTGTTTCTTTTTGAGACAGGTCTTGCTATGTGGCCCAGGAGAGCCTCAAACACATGATCCTCTTGCCTCTGCTTCCTAAGCAGTGTTAGAAAAGGCTGGTGCTGTTTGCCTTTTTGTGGTTCTGGGTATTTAACTCAGGGCTTCAGGCATGCCGGGTAAGCACTCTACCACTGTGAGGTATGTCTCTAGTCTTCTTTTTACTTTTATTTTCAGACAGGGTCTCATTAGGTTGCCCAGATTAGCCTTGAAATAACTCACTTTATAGCTCAGGCTGGCCTTGAACTTGTGATCTTCCTGCCTCAGTCTCCCAAATACCTGTCTGGGACGATAAACCTGTGCCATCATGCCTAGATCAACGGTCCTTTTCTATTAAAAATTAATTTGTGTATGCACGCGTGTGTGTTGCACACATATTAGTGTATGTGTTTTTGTGCCCGTGCCCATGCATGCAGAGGCCAGAGCAAGATGTCAGGTGTCTTCCTCTGGTACACTCAGCCTTACTCCCTTGACAGGGTCTCTCACTGAACTGGAAGCTTGCCATGTTGGCTAGACTGGCCGGCCAGTGAGCTCTTGGGATCAGCCTGCCTCCAAGGCTGAGGGCACAGATACAGGCAGCCATGCTGGGCTTTTTCTGCATGTTCTGGGGATTTGAACTTGGGTCCTCATGCTTGCATAAGAAACACTCTTCACCCACTGAACTATTTCCCTAGCTCTCACCTGCATTTTAACAAACAATTCCTCTAGTTGCCTAGTGATTCAAAGAGCATTGGAAATCACCATTGAGTGATTCCATGTTCCTGTGCTACCAGATCATAACAAAGTCCAAATAGAGATATCAGACACACAGTTGAAAGGTTCTGCTGTGTTGCTTGGGAGAGCAACTGCTGTTTGCAGCTGTGGCAGTGACTGGAGGTAGCACTATCTCTGTACTGTCCAATAGAGTAGGCACTGGTCACATATGGCTATTTTATCGATAAGTTCATTAAAATTAAATGGAATAAGAATTCAGCTTCTTAGTCACTGAACTGACTCAGGTGCTCAGTGACCACATGTGGCAGCTGTTAAGCACAGCAGATCAAATTCCCTTCACTGCAGAAAGCCTTGTTGGACTACAAGTTTTGTCTGGTTATTGGAAGCCTAAGTGTTGTATCTTCTGCAAAGATGCCTGATTCTCCCAGAATGGCCAGAAGCAGCCCCGGGAGGCACAGCTTAAAATAGAGAAGGAGATCAGCAAATAGTTTTGGTCTGCCCATGGCCAGAAGTTGGGTGATACCCATGGGTACAACTAGCAGGTTTGAAACCCAGTAGAGAGGGAGGAAGTGGAGTGGCTTAGACTCAGTTAGTCAACTCATTGGTTCACTGTGCTGGGCTTTTGTAGGCTCCTCGGTGAAAGGTCTTAGAAATGGGTTCAGGAAGGACACTGAGATGGATTTTGAGGAAACAAGTTTATTAAAAAGAGTTATTAACACCATGGACAGACAGACAGCTGCAAGGTGGGGGCTCTGAGAATTCAGCCCACAAGGCAGACTGTACATGTGTGTATATGTGTCCCTCCTTTATTATTATATT